TTTACACCATACGAGATCATTATATGAACCTACGTACATAACATCACCCTCCAGGAGTGGATTTACACCATACGAGATCATTATATGAACCTACGTACATAACATGACCCTCTAGGAGTGGATTTACACCATACGAGATCATTATATGAATCTACGTACATAACATGGCCTTCTAGGAGTGGATTTACACCCTACGAGATCATTATATGAACCTACGTACATAACATGACCGTCTAGGAGTGGATTTACACCATACGAGATCATTATATGAATCTACGTACATAACATGGCCCTCTAGTAGTGGATTTACACCCTACGAGATCGTTATATAAACCTACGTACATAACATGACCCTCTAGGAGTGGATTTACACCCTACGAGATCGTTATATAAACCTACGTACATAACATGACCCTCTAGGAGTGGATTTACACCCTACGAGATCATTATATGAACCTACGTACATAACATGACCCTCTAGGAGTGGATTTACACCCTACGAGATCGTTATATGAACCTACGTACATAACATGGCCCTCTGGAGTGGATTTACACCCTACGAGATCGTTATATGAACCTACGTACATAACATGACCCTCTGGGAGTGGATTTACACCCTACGAGATCGTTATATGAACCTACGTACATAACATGACCCTCTGGGAGTGGATTTACACCCTACGAGATCATTATATGAACCTACGTACATAACATGACCCTCTAGGAGTGGATTTACACCCTACGAGATCATTATATGGACCTACCTACATAACATGACCCTCTAGGAGTGGATTTACACCCTACGAGATCATTATATGAACCTACCTACATAACATGACCATCTAGGTGTTGATTTACACCCTACGAGATTATTATATCAACCTACGTACATAACATGACTCTCTAGGAGTGGATTTACACAATTGGCTATCTGTATCGAAACCCGGATTCTAGCGTTGTAAGTCCGCAGACATACAGTTGTGCCACTGGGTCTTAATTAAGGCGAGTATCTGTTAAGTTGTTTTTATGAATTTTTCATTTAAAGGTATCTCGCTAGTTTAAACTTAAATCTTTTTCTCCTTACAATGTCGCAGCTCTAGTGGAGAGTGGTTACCATAGAGACAATCCCTACCATAATGCCGTTCATGCCGCTGACGTCACTCAAGCGTTGCATTGTTTTCTCCAAGAGGAAACTGTGAGTATCCTATACTTCAAAATCCTGCTTAAATTGATATCAGTATCCTGTACTTTAAAATCCTGCTTAAATTGATATCAGTATATTGTACTTTAAAATCCTGCTTAAATTGATGCTAGTATCCTGTACTTTAAAATCCTGCTTAAATTGATGTCAGTATCATGTACTTTAAAATCCTGCTTAAATTGATGTCAGTATATTGTACTTTAAAATCCTGCTTAAATTGATGCTAGTATCCTCTACTTTAAAATCCTGCTTAAATTGATGTCAGTATCATGTACTTTAAAATCCTGCTTAAATTGATGTCAGTATCCTGTACTTTAAAATCCTGCTTAAATTGATGCTAGTATCCTCTACTTTAAAATCCTGCTTAAATTGATGTCAGTATATTGTACTTTATAATACTGCTTAAATTGATGTCAGTATATTGTACTTTAAAATCCTGCTTAAATTGATGTCAGTATATTGTACTTCATAATCCTGCTTAAATTGATTCGTTTTGATTGTTGTATGAATGCACTAATAAAGAACTGAACACTTAAGCATGACGACGGTATCGTAACTAACTGCTTAACAAACATTACAGAGTGTCGAACGACATGGAGCTTAGAGATGCCCAACTAAAATCAATCAGTATAAAACTGTTAGCTCGGTGACCGGACCAGTGTGAACGACCATTCGCTACCAAATCTAATAACCTGGCGCTGAAACTGAATTCAAAGCAATCACACGTAGGGCGACTGACAGAGTTGCTTTTCTGTGTGGGAAGAACCCGAACGTTTCACGCTAAATATCATTTACGTTAACTGGACGTGACTCGTTAGTAAGACGCTTCTGAATAACTACTTCAAGAAATGGGGTTACACGCTGTGTACGTAATTCCCAGTTTGCATTTTGTTTTCTTCTCCTTGGTCAAGTTTAGTACTATTGGAGATGTTTATTAACCTTATCGTCACGGGTCATCGCGTTTGTTGACTTGCATTCAAAATTTTATTGAACTACTATTTTTATGAATTTATGTCAATAAGTTTGGTAACAAATTGTATATTATAATTCAAATTTTAGTACTATATATTAGTTAGTTTCTTAATTTAAAAGTAAAAATTAAAAGAACACACTTAAATATAGATTTTTGTGTGGCACGTGGTATGTTGAATGCAGCATTGATTCAAATTATATGTTTGTGATGTCCAAATACAAAGTCTAAAGTTTCTTACGAATTAGGAACTCAAAGTATTGATATTGACAAACTAGAATATAAAATAAGAACCTCCTATCTTTTCTATTTACTTTTTTATGCCCCACTGCTCCTTCTAAACGTGTAGCTGGTTCCTAAAACCCACTTCCTTTCCTGATGGGGTGGTTACCCACTTATACAAAGAGAGAAAGGTTCACCAGGTCATTTTCAGTAAAACAAAAAAATCAATGAAATGGACATTGTTTCAGTTTTATCGAGCTGACTTTTTAGTTGTTTATAATATTCACTGCATAGAACTCAAAAATAAAATGAAATTGGTCGTTATACTTCACCAATTATCGAATACATATTGTATAATTTTCTATACGGCTTCGTAACGTTCGTTCTTGAACAAATCGTGAAATATCGTATTTTTTAAGCTTAACAATCAACACAGCAAAACTCGCAATGAACAACAACCTCTGTTGTCAAAAGATGGCAGCACATGACGGAGTAAGGAATGATATTGCGTACGGTATTGTTAAAAAAGCGAAACACTGTAAAATTGGCTTTTGGTTCTGTGCCCACTGCATGGATCAAACTCGTATATTAGCCCTACTGAATAATATAACTGGTCTCGTTTCCTTAATCCTCTACTAAGAAGTTCCAAGCTCTAGAAATACATATGAAGCCCAATCTATTATTTGATTCACCACTTGTCACTGAATTAAGTATACCGGTTGCGGGAAATTCCACTACTCAGCAGTAACCATGAGTAATGGCAAATTAAAGTTGTAACCATTTTATAGGTTAATCAGAACAGGAATACGACGGTAAGAATTGTAATTATTTTCATGTTGCATCAACGGCAGGGTGTAAAGGTTTGTTCGCTTCTTTCGAATATTCACAAAAAAGTTCCATAACAGCTATCTGCACTAGCAGTTTCAAATTTTTAACTGGCAGATTAGAGGAGAAAATAGCACCCACCGTCAACTCTCGAGCTGCTCTAATCAAGATTTTGCGTCAATAGGACGCGAACTTCGGGTCCTCGGATTTACAGCCCAGCATGTTAGCTACTATGCCGTGCCCGTCTTAGATATATCCTTCAAAAAACAAGTTTTTTCTTGTTTTAAATACAAAACTGCACAATAGGCTATTTGCGTTATGTCTATAGCAAGGATTGAGCCCTACATTTTATCGTTATGAGCCCCCGAGCTGATCGTTTAGCCACCGTAGGGGGGAGGTATAGGTAAGCAGAATTAGGATATCAGGTATACATCAGGTTTAAGAGCCGAAAAAGGTCCAGTTCATTTATAATTATATATCTGTTAATAGAGGGCGCCAGCGTAGACAAATAACAAAATAATGGTACGTGTCAGTCTGTGAGATTTCAATGTTGGAATTAGCGATATAATAGCTTTTTTAAAAACCAAGAAGAGAAACTGTAAAAATCCTAGTTAAAATTGAAAAAAAATAAAAGAAATACCATCATATTTTATTCTTCAATTAAGCTGATTTGTGTTTTAAAGAACTGGAAAATACAGCTTTGTTAAACTTTGTGTCAGTGTTTTATCACAGCAATCTACACCGATTTGCGAAGTTAGTCGAACGAGAATCGAATGACTAAGCACTTCTTTTGTATGTTGTCAGATTTCAAAGTATTTGGATCCAGTGGAAATCATGGCCTGTCTTATAGCTGCAGTTTGTCATGACCTTGATCACCCAGGTTTCACCCAGCCTTTTTTACTGGCCACTTCCAACCACCTAGCAGTATTATACAAGGTAAGCTAACGTATAACTGTCTATGGCACCCACCAAACCACCCAGCGGTACTATACAAGGTAAAGCTCATTTATAACTTTGTATGCCACTCATCGAGCCACCTGGCGGTACTATACAGAGTAAACCTAACGTATAACTTTGTGTGCCACTTCCAACCACCTAGCGGTACTATACAAAATGAGCTAACGTATAACTGTCTATGGCACCCACCAAACCGCCTGGCGGTATTATACAAAGTAAAGCCAACGTATAACTTTGTGTGCCGCTCATTGAGTCACCTGGCGGTATTATACAAAGTAAAGCAAACGTATAACTTTGTGTGAAATTTCGAACCACCTGGCGGTACTATACAGATAAAGCTAACGTATAACTGTGTGTGTCATTTACTAAGCCACCTAGCGGTACTATACAGGTAAAGCTAACGCATAACTGTCTGTGTCGCCCACCAAAATACCTGGCGGTACTATGCAAGGTAAAGCTCATGACAGATGTTTGTATCACCCACTAAGTCCCCTGGCGGTATTAGATAAAGTAAAGGTCACTCACACCTAATTTTATACAAGATAAAGCAAATTTGTAACTGTTTACTCACCAAACAACCTAGTGTCATTATACAAAGTAAAGTTAGCATTTGGCAGTTTATGCCACACACCAAACCACCTAGCGGTACTATACAGTAAAGCTAGCATTTAGCAGTTTATGCCGCTCACCAAGCCATCTGGCGGTACTATACAGTAAGCTAGCGTTTAGCAGTTTATGCTACTCACCAAGCCACCTGGCGGTACTATACAGCAAAGCTAGCATTTAGCAGTTTATGCCGCTCACCAAGCCATCTGGCGGTACTATACAGTAAAGCTAACGTTTAGCAGTTTATGCCACCCACCAAGCCACCTGGCGGTATTATACAAGTAAAACAAACGTAAAACTGTGTGTGCCATTTCGAACCACCTAGCGGTACTATACAGGTAAAGCTAACGAGGAGATATTATAAAGAGTTTAGTGCTAACTTTTACATTGTTTCGTTATTTTTAAAAGAAATTAAATATACATATACATATTCCGTCAAACGAAATGGAAAGAGACCAGTATTTAATCGTGAAGACTATCGACATTAGGAATGTTGCCTGACAATCGTTATTGTCTTAACAGAATTTTTCTGTGCTGGAAACTCACCACTGGAGGATGGCTGTCTCATGCCTCAGGGAGTCAAAGTTATTGGATCACCTAGAGAAGGATGTATGGTGAGAGGAAATTTTCGTTTTATATTAAACTTTGTTCATTCATATTCGCCCATTGTTCGGAAAAGAGTTAAAACATTTGTGAAGTGTATTTAATATAGTTCTAATTAATGGTCTCGTTTTTTTTATCTTATTGGAAAACGAAGTATTGTATTTGATATTTAGTGTTGCTTACAGGCACAACAACTGGGGGTGGGTGGATGAGTTCTTGATCCATTTTTTTAGGTACCCTTTATGCCCTCTTCAAAAATTCAGGCACACGTGTTGAATTTTTTTAAATATTTTCAGCACACACGACTTCATAAAAAGCTATGCCTCCTAACATTTTAGCCGTGGTTGTGCTTATGCTAACAATCATTTTACTTAATCACAGAATCAAAGGTTTTGCATCATGTAGTATTGAGTTATTTACTCAAGGGCAGGTTCTTGGTTCAAGATCTCCAACCCTCTCAACTATACGGTCCCCCATATCTCAGAATCATTCTTTCTAGCACCTTCTTCATCCAACTGTCTATCAAACAATGTGTCCAACTCCTGTCTTTTACCTTTTCTGACATTTTTACATCAAGGTTGGCCAGGTGGTTAGGGCACTCGACTCGCAATCTGAGGGTCATGGGTTCGAATCCCCATCCCACCAAACATGCTCGCCCTTTCAGCCGTGGGGGTGTTATAAAGTGACGGTCAATCCCACTATTCGTTGCTAAAACATTTGGCGGAGGGTGGTGATGACTAGCTGCCTTCCCTCTAGTCTTACACTGCTAAATTAGGAACGGCTAGCGCAGATAGCCTTCGTGTACCTTTGCGCGAAATTCAAAACAACAACATTAGTAGCTGTATCAGTTTTTGAAGGAAGAGATCTAGGTACATCAAGTGATATAGGGTAGAATAGAATCAGTAGGGTTACCGCAACGTTTGCTGTGCTTGTATAATGTTTCCATACTTAACTAGGTAACAAACTCCTGCTTCGCGGACGAAACAATTTATTGCTGTTTATTCAAAGTAATTAAACTAGTTAAGTGACTAGACTATTCACGTACGCGGTTGGGTACTTAAGAGTTCTTAACTGATCTGATGGTCGTGCGGGGCGTCTCAATGGCTGTGAGGTTAAACCTATTCCACAATACGTAATATCCAATAAACACGTCTAGTGCAAAAGATACCTTGAACGGAATGGTCTGATAAAAAGTGACAAACCGATCGATACCAGATCTAGAAAAGCTATATCTGGGTATTGGGAGCAAGTATTAAAACTCATCAGAGTGATGGTACCAGTACTCTAAGTGTTTGTACACAAATGAAGAAATCCACATACAAAACCTTTACACATAAACACTGCTGTCTGAGATGGGGCTCTGTGGGATGACAGATCTATTTCCTAAATACCTTTCTCTTTACAGAGCATAGCACTATCTACATTCTACACCCCTTTCCCTTACGTATATGATGACGTCATCTCTACTTCCCAAATCCTAGTTTCATTTTTGCATATTTTAATACAGTTTAGAAAGCTTCTCATGTGCTGCTCTTTTAATTGCACAGATATGTAATGACTCATCATAATGGGAAACAATATTTCGAGACAACTTTTACAGCTTTAGAGTAAGTACCATTAAGACATCTAGTCTTATGAAAAGATTCAAAGAAAATACAAAGTATATAAACTTCCTTTTCTGAACCTTTGATTAGTACAAAGAATTACCATTTAAAATAGCGACCCTGCTATATAAATCTTCATTTAGTGCTCCTTTTTAAATAAGTTTCTCGTTTTTATCAGAAAGGTCGGAGGAAGTGAGTGGTGTCATGTTGCGAAGTGACAGTCTTGACAAACTGATGAATTTCATCAGAATATTCTTGATGTTTCAGAGAAAAGAGCTTGTTAAAATGTCAGCCAAGACAGACGTACACTACTGTCTTCAGTTATTTTCGATGTAACTTTTACCTATTGACAAAATGGTTTAGTATCACATTATTCCAGAGTATTGTTGGTTGACTATTGTAATCAAATAATAAGCATTATTTCTATACATTATACCATTAACGTCTTACAAAATACTAACCAAGAATTTGTTAAATAGTCGAATCCATCTAGAATTATGTTTGACACGTGACCGTTTAAATGATGAAGGTCTTAGGTTTGAAATGATGTTGAATATATTACCTAATTTTTTTGTCACAAGGAGACCTACCAGTCATTTAGTCCCTGGTTGTATGATTGATTCAATTATTTCCGATAGTTGCGTAGAAAATCTGTTTGTTGGTCGTGGCATGACTTGATAGTTAGGGTGCTTTGCGCGAAATTCAAAAACAAACAAATCATTTCTATGAAAGAAAACAGGTGTTAGAGAGTAAAAAATAACTTGGAAGATATACACATGCTGAGAAAACTCAAGATTAAAGCGAAATATTGATAGTTCGCAACAATGAACGAAATAAGTATTGATACTTTGTGTCAGGAAACGTGTAGTTTTAAAAATCTATACAAGAAACATACAAAAAATGTCGCGTACGAGATACAACGTACATAAACGTCCTGCTTCATGCATCGGAGAAAACGGTGTTTCTTGCAAGAAGGATTTCACGAACATGCCCCAAGACATTAAAGATGTCACGCAAAAGGAGGGGGGACACAGCTGAAAGTTTAATACAATCTGAAGGGTTAACTATTTAAGCTCGACATCTGAACGGAATCTGAGAACTTTCTGGATAAAATGTATATAAAGAAGCTCTTTTGATTTAGGAGATAACTCATTTTATAACTCGTAATAGTGGTTGGCCTGTTTAATGTACGATTTATTATAAATGATTTATTGACGCTGAAACCCCAATTAATTTATTTTGTGTTTTTTTCATAATTATTTAACAATTTCAAATGTTTTCTTTTTTACATTTCCATGTATGTATTCCACCATTTTTATCTAACAAATGCTCATTCTGGTATAAGTTATTTTTACTTATTGTAATTTTTTCATTTTAACCAGATATATTAATACTGAAACAGGTGTATTAATATTTGTTTTTTAATATTATTACTATTATAAAAGCCAGTCAAAAATGACAGGAAACCATTGTCGAATGATAAACGAAAATTATAAAATTTAACTAAAATAAAGTTGTCTGTACCTCCAACATACACCTACTCTTCACTTATTTCATCACTCTCCAAGTAATTCTTTAATCACTACATTTTTAGTAAAAACTACGAAGACAAATGAAATGTTATCGTAAACAAATGTACGTGTGAACTCTGAAAGACATTTAAATAGCACTCTTGAGCCTTTTCACTGTATTCTAGGTCAGGAAGTAGAAAAAATAGTGCGGACATTTTGATAAAAATGTTCAACTCTTTCGACTGTACAAAGGATAAAAGATATTTGGTAGTAATAAAGTTTATGTTTCTATACGTTTTAAAGCCAAATAGATAATATATGTGTGTTAAAATATTTATTATTTAACATTTATTCACCACTTATAACTTTTTAAACACTGACTGTATAAAGTTAGTAACAACAGACCTATTTGAAGTCTAATACATAGACGTAACATAATGCTTAGTTGAAATACTACTTGGTAAATTATATTTTGCTTTTGGCTACAACTCAGTGCCATAAAACTTCTGAAGTAAACTATTTTGTTGTTATAAAAAATAAAGATTAAAAAACAAATCTTTCTTACAAATCAACATGAATATTGAGCCAACATAAACACCATAGTTGGCCCAAGAACAATCGGGTGATACTTTTGTTGCTAAGCGACGATGTATATTTTTGAGCATTATCAAAAAAGGAATCGTGAAAGCGTTCTCTACAAAGGGAATAAGATTTTTATAGTTAGTGATAAAGTAAAAATATTTTGCTTTAACATTTATTTCTACCTGATTTTCTGGTGTATTTTATACGCATATCTACCAACTTATTTGTTCCCCCTAGCGTCTCCTTCCTTTCATACATTGTTTTATCACGTACCATTGTCTCGTGTCGGTATATTTTATTGTTCTATTTGTTTTTGTTTTTTGTATAATTTATTATATGATTTGTAGGTTCGAAAAGAGCAGACAAACCTTGCGAAAGCCGAAACGTTAAGATGAATAAAAAAAAACTATTTTCAACTTTATAGTCGCGATTTTTAAAACGAATTAGTAGTGTCGTTAATCTACAAAGTTAGTGTTCATGAAACTGTATTGTAGCATTAAATAAGTAGGTTGTTAGAGTGAAATATCTTTCATCTTTAACTGTATAGTTGGTGCTTTTGGATCAGTATTGTAGCATTAAATAAGTAGGTTGTTAGAGTGAAATATCTTTCATCTTTAACTGTATAGTTGGTGCTTTTGGATCAGTATTGTAGCATTAAATAAGTAGGTTGTTAGAGAGTAATATCTTTCATCTTTAACTGTATAGTTGGTGCTTTGAGATCAGTATTGTAGCATTAAATAAGTAGATTGTTAGAGTGAAATAATAATATCTTTCATCTTTAACTGTATAGTTGGTGCTTTTGGATCAGTATTGTAGCATTAAATAAGTAGATTATTAGAGTGAAATAGTAATATCTTTCACCTGCAACTTTACAATTAATTCTTTTGGATCTATACTGTAAGCATTAGGTAACATATTATTAGATTGAAATAGTAATATATTTTATTTGTAATTTCTGTGATGGTGAAATTAAGATGGAAAAAAAAAGTTACTAAAATCGATAATGAATTTTTTTTTACAGATTTGTTAATTGCATTTAGTTATTTTTATAAACATAAAATGAACTGTTTTCTTAGCCTAGGTTTGTTTGTTTATTTTCAGTGTGGAGATAGAACGCTCGATACAATCACTAATTCTGTCCACGGACTTGTCACTACAACAGGACTTTCTTCTTAAGTTCAAGGTTAGGCTATAAATACGTGAATTCAGCACCAGAGACATGATGACTATTTCTATAAACTTCAAGACTTATAACACTTCCCATTCTACAGTTATTAGAAATATAAAATTTGTTTCTTAACTTTTCACTATTCCAATGTCACACATATTTCGACGCTTCAGACTTTGACTTATTTGATATTATAACATTTTGTTCGTCAAGTTTTAAATTCTTGAACCACCTTAAAATATGGATGTTTGAAGTTTATGGAAAATTTTATTTAAAGAGCAGTTTCTTTGTCAGTACACAGTAGTTAAAGATAACTTGACTTCAACAAAATAACTTATAGCTCCCAATCAGTTATGATTGTAGCGTAGGAAATTTCTGTAAACCACAATTTAAACTCTCATTTGAACTATGTTTGTAGTAGCTTTGGAAATGCTTAAAACGTGGTGAGTGTTCAAATACATCACCCACGTGGTTATTTTTGTTGATTACTGGATAATATTTCACCTTCCTGAAGTAAATGAATGTTACAGTATTTAACACTATCACACTTACATACTTGAAAATTTGCCTGTTTTATGAAGGTTGCAGCATATAGTCTTAAAATATTTACACTAAACATATGGATTTTGTAAGCGAAGTTAATTTCGTAAAAACGAAAGGAAGATTAAAATTAAATATTTAATCGTATATACAGTACGATTGAAATTGATGACCTAGAAAATGTGTATAAATACAAAACACAGCATACTCGTTCTCTCTTTACATGTTTGTGTAATATATAGATATATTCTTCCCTCTTTCAGTATATGTAAAGAGAGGTAAATACTGTTTTCTCTCTATATAAATAATATCGTTTGTGGAATTGTTAGTGATGAAATAGTTGTAGTCTTCAACGGTATCTTAGTATCAATAATACAATAGTACCGTCTTCATGTTGTGGTTCATTAATTCTTTTAACTCTTAAAGTGTCGAGTATTTTCATAAAATGTGGACTGAAAGATTATGTTGTGGAAATAAAAATAACAGAGAGCAGAATAAATAGTTTATGATATGCTACATTGTTATTTGAACTGTACTTTGGAAAGTTATTCTGGATCCATGAAGTAAACACACGATAAACATAAATTCATATATATATAAAGTAGGCCTAACACGAGTTAAGCCTAACGTATTACCACGATCTTGGGGACCTTTCATAAGAGTTTCTTTCAGGATAATCCAAGTTTGCTTCTCTTTCTATAACTAAAGACATGCTCTGTAGTTAGATTTCTAATCATTTAGTTTGGTAAGTCTTGGAAATTAGATAATTTTTTTCCTTAGAAATCTATGGATGAAATTTCTGTGGACCTGACCAAAAAAGAAAAAAGACATTTTGTCCTGCAGGTATGTAAGACTCAATGCTGGAAGTGATTAATCATTCTCTGTATCATAATGATTACGTATGTTAATATTACTTTGTAGTGTTTTATCTATTAACTGTACTTTTCGTACATGTTGTTTCATAATCCACCAATTGACTCCTTATTTTTATTATTGCACAGATAGCCCTCGTGTAGCTTTGTGCGAAATTCAACTAGTATTTTGCTGATTTTTTTTTTTTTACTTAGCCTACAGTCCAGAACTTGACATGCCTCAAATAAAGTTTATGCTGAAGGAAAATGTATTACAGTTTAATTAAATACGTTTTGAATTTTGAATGTCTTTATTAATAGGCCTCCTGTCTCTGAGATTGGAAGGCCTTATGTCTTAGTCATTAGTTTGTATCTTTTTCTCCGCTATTTTCACAGCGATAACTTTAGAAGGCTATATCTGATAGTCAGAAAACTTGGCACAGACGTTGCATGGGTCTGTGAAAAGAAGCCTTTTGATCTTGAGCCTGGTTCCATATCCACTATGGCTGCTAGGTGGGCATATTTGATTTAATTTTTACCGTGATAAGTTTGAAACTCCTATACCAATCTTCGCGAAAGGTGGTATAGACAATTGATAATCATGTGTGAAGAAGCCTATTGATTTTGAACCCATTCAGTATAGGCTATGTGGACATCTTAGAAAAATTGGATCTCCCACTGACGACGATGGACCCCATGTTTGCTGTGCGAACACTGGACATCTAGTTCTGGACTTTCCTTACTCAATTCTCACAGAGAAACAATAGTTACAAGTAAAACCTAATTTAAAATAAATTTTGTCAACGTTACCTTGGATTTAGATGCCCAGATGCATTTTTGGTGATTTTTGATAAATTGGCAAGCACCATGAAAAATGGCTGCCAAAAGTAATTTAGTTGTGGATCTCAAATGTCCACCACATATTTTCAGATATATGGCTAACTAAAAACTATAGTGGTGTTCAGTTCCTCTGTTTGGTAGTCAACTCTCAATTTTGGGGGTCTGGCTCATGGACTATTTCATTTCACCAGTCCAACGGAAGAGTACTCTAGATTATAAAAGTATTATGGAAACTATCAATAATCAGTAGCTTAATCTAATCCTATATTCGTTTTCGATTATTGGAACACATAAAGCTTATTTTATATTAACTCGACTTGGATGGCTGATTAGTTAACACTATGCACATGATACACCTTCTGATATTGTTTATAGCTTAACTAACTTTATGGGGTTGGAATACCTACTTTGGATGATCAATTTTGCTTATCTCACCCAGTGGTTCGTTTTAATAACCCGCTGGTTTCATTTGTTTCTTCTTTCTTTTCAAGCAACTAACTGCAGACAAATAAAGATGTCATAGATGTGAGACGTTGTGGGCTTGGGAACCCACATCTGTTTTTTTTTATCACTGTTTTGTATGGTTACACTTATAATAGGTGATGCACACGAGATAAGGTTGAATCATTTATGTGTTGTATGCCCCCAGTAGCTCAGCGTCAAGCCTGAAGGTTTATGATGCCAAAAATCTGGTTTCAATACCCGTAATGGGCAGAGTACTTTGAACTTTTGTACTTAACAACAAACAACTATATTCTCCGCTTTCTGGGTTCTACTTCTGCAGACTCCCCCAAAGCCAGTATACGTATATAATTAACTACATTATAATTTGTAACATGGTGTTATTATTTTTAATGTTGTCCTTGCTCCTTTTGGCCTGATTTTCTTAGTTTACATATGTTAGCATATATATTAAAGGAAAATCGAGTCTGTAGATGTTATTTTTCATATAAACGTGACACTGAAAACTTAAAAGTAATTTTTTATGAAGAAGACTTTTTTTTCGCCTGAATATTTTGTTTCTTTGTACCGTTTGCAGGTTGCTTTGAAATGTGCTGATTTGTGTAATCCGTGCCGGCCTTGGCCCATCAGTAAACAGTGGAGTTACCAAGTGTGTGAGGAATTATATAAACAAGGTCAGTTTAGAAAGTGTGTAAAATTACATTCACTGGTGATAGTTTAGGAAGTGTGTAAAATTACATTAACAGATGATAGTTTAGGAAGTGTGTAAAATTACATTAACAGGTGAGAGTTTAGGAAAGGTATTGTTACGACAGCGGAAGTCACGTGAAGCTAATAACACGTCATGAGCTTCTAGAAAATTCATTCCCCTTCGTGAAGCCTCGAGTGTTTGCTAGATTTTCGGTATTATTGTATATAAGACCGCCAAGAAGTGACGGCAACAATGCAATTGAATTG